AGTTTCAAATATGCATATTCTTACATTTCACTAACAACACCGGATGTAACCGCAGAAGGAACGCCCGACCTGTTTCACTATCTACAAGTTCAGCTTATTATAAGAATTATGGGAACATTTTTTTGGCTTTTTAAGTTTTAAATTTTTTTTTACATTTCAGTTTTTTGCATAAGCGCTAGTAACAGATAAAAAAAAAAAAAAACAAACATGTCAGTAACAAACAGTTAAAGGAGGCCGTACATAGGAGTCGAAGAACGGCGACGAAGAGGAAGAAAAAGGAAGGGGCGAACACGTGGGGAGGCTGTTCTACAGGATACAGGCCGAGTCAGCACGATGAACCGGGCGACGTCGTCTGCGGCGCAGGATATTCCTTCAGAGTTCGAAATCTTCCCTGAGGCGCGCATATGCCGCTGGATCCGACTCCTTGAAGCGCTTTAAGCGCTCGGCACATTCGCGTGGGTCTATCTCCGCGTGCCGTTTACGTCGCGGCATGGGCGGGATTGCGACCTCAGGTGCTGCGCCTTCTTCTGGTTCGTCTCCTGAAGCACGAAGACACCAGTGAGTCGATGAGCAGCTACGGAGCAGCGAGGAATGTACAAAGAAACTTTAAAAGTTCCTCAAAAGCTTCGCTGATAAGAATCTTACCGGGCACGAATATCGTCGTGGTTTCCTCCGTCCTTCCCAGAAGCCGCAGCTCGTTCAGTCTGGCCCTGCGCTCCTTCATTATCTTCTCTGATGCCATTGGGCACCAGTCGCGGCGGTGAATGCGCAGGGCCAGTCGCGCCTGCTCCGCTGTCGCGCCGTCAGGCACTGTTACACAGTGCCTGCAGAAATGGCAGAATCCTGTGCAAAGAACAGCTATTTAGAAAGGGTGCACATCGAAGAATTTCATTTAGCAAAGGAAACTGTATCAGCTGTACAGAGTAAAGAGGGAGCACAACAAATTGGTCCTAATTGTAGCGTCTTTGTTTGGGAGGCCTTGATCACCTTGCTTGTGAAGAATTAAATTAAAACTGTTAGTGTACGTGGAAAGTTACTATATTGCTTACCATTCTGATGGTGAGCCCTTGCCATCGTTACGTGGATCTTCCATCCCTTCATCGTGCTGAATCTTCGATGGCCGCATCCCGGTAGGCGGCATTCTGAAGAGACAACAAATTTTCAGAACAGAATGCTGATCGTCATGCAGGTACACCCTTGTTTCCTAGCCATCTTTAACGTAAGAGAGATTCTATTAAAATGTTCATTAGAGTTATCAGCAAACGTACCAATTTGACATTGCCCGTGGCCGATGACCAGGATTCGGAATGGGTCCGATCCTGGTTCGCGCAGCGTCTCCCGAAAATGGGGCGGTAGAAACGCCAGATTCGGGAGACTGAAAGCCGGGAGCTCGTCGTCGCGCTCCATCTCCTCCACGGCGGGCACCGGAATGTTGATGGCCCGCGAGCGCCTGCAATATCATACAGTTCGTTTCTCGGTATTTTCGAGACATCAGAATTATTGAAGTAGGATAAATCTAGGGGCGCCTCGATCATCCTTATACCTTGTAGTGGACCGTTCAGTACACCCGCATAACCCGTTTAGCCGCTCTTCAAAAGCTTTTTCTCACTGCCGCATCGGAATCCTACAAGTCGACCGCCAGACTGAGCCTCCGCATGACTGCGCGGTCTAAGCATTCTATGCCTAACACGTCTTTAAGCCATATATTCTTCCTGCCCTCCTGTTTCTTTACCGATATGCACTTCTCATGCCCAATCTCCATCAAAGTATTCGTCCTTTCCTGAGGTCGATGATGCCCCGGGGACAAGACCAACTGATGTCCCTCCCTCCCACCAAAGTTTTTTGCTCACTAGCAGCATAGAAAACTTACAGTTCTAGAACACGGATCGCCATCTGATCCGCACCTGGCTGCTGTTCCGCCGCCTCCGCCATGACGTCTTCGCCTGCAGCCGCCGCCTCTTCGGCTGCCTCAACTTCCGCCGCCCCCGCCACGACTCCTTCGCCTGCAGCCGCCGCCTCCTCGGCTGCCTCAATTCCCGCCGCGACGTCTTCTGCCCCGGCCGCATCCGCAGCTGCCCCCAGTACGGCAGCTTCTTCCAACCACTCATTGACGCGGGCACTCGGCCCTTCCTCGCTTCCTTCCGGGGTCAGGGCGGCATCCGGATCTTCTCTATGTTCTGGAATCCACCGGAAGTAGTCGATAGTGGCGATACTGGTCTCGCCACCCGAGGAAGAGGCCTCTTCCTCTTCCCTTTCCTCCGCGACCCCAGCTCGCCGAGATGACGCGAGCATGATATCCATTGTGGCGATACTGGAATCGCCTGGCGAAGCTGGGGCCTCTTCTTCCAGCGAGGCGCCTTCTCCCTCTTCCCCTTCCAACCACTCGTCGAACAGGGCATTCCGCCCTTCCTCGCTTCCTTCCGGGGTCAGGGCGGCGTCCGGATCTTCTCTATGTTCCGGGATCCACCGGAAATAGTCGATGGTGGCGATACTGGTCTCGCCACTCGAGATCGAGGCCTCTTCTTCCGGTGCTCCCTCCTCTTCCTCCTCCCTTTCCTCCGCGGCCCCAGCTCGCCGAGATGCTGCGAGCAGGATGTCAATTGTGGCGATACTGGAATCGCCTGGCGAAGCTGGGGCCCCTTCTTCCAGCGAGGCGCCTTCTCCCTCTTCCCCTTCCTCCGCAGCTCCAGCCTCCGGGAACTGAGTGCCCCGTGATGTACTAGCCTCGGCGGATTCCGAGGCTGGGGCTTGCCGAAGCTCCTCTTCCAAAAACATCGACCGCCTTCGGTGCTGAAAATATTTCAGATTTATTTGCCGTTCTCTGGTGGATGTGTTGGCAGAATTCGGCAGTTTAGCTCTCACACTGCACGCTCGGCTTGAGGAATGGAGTGTGATTCAAATTTAAACTACGAGTAAAATTTTGTTTGGAGGCTAAAGCGTTTTGCTCAAGTAAGAGTTGCTCATCTGCTCCTCTGCACACGGTGCTGCATTGCAGA